ATGTAAGGTTTCTGGTAGACTGATGGTGCTTCTTTACTGTCTGCTTGTAGGGTTGGGGAGAAGACCTCCATCTGCTGGGACCGTCAGAAGATGATGAGCATTTCAAGGATTCTGTAACTATTCCTCGAACACACCTACTGGTTCCAGCCCCTACACCTTTGCTCCTGCTGTCCCTTCACCTGGACTTCCCTCTATGGATGTCTCTGATTGTTGGAATCTCATTCAGCTTTCAAGGCCCAACTCAAATGCCACCTGCCTCAGATTCTCACTAGACTCGGTTGGAAGGATTTTCTCCCTCCTCTGAGCTCCTGTAGCTTTCTGGCTAAACCTCTGTGTAAACACATGTTCCTCTACACTGAGAGCAACTCGAAGCAAGATGTCTGTATTCCTTTTCGCTAACCTGCCACACAGAGCAAGAGCTCAACAGACATCCCAGAATGATCGACAGAGGAAGGGCTGACTGCCCGCTGGATGGACGTGAGTGTCGGTGGCTCAGGACTTGACTCACAACAGGGCCACCACCCTCCGTCCCTGGACAGTCTCAGACAGAGACCCCACGATCAGGTTCCAGCCCAGACTTTGCCCTTTTCTAGCTGGAACTTTAGGCAAATTACTTCACTACTCTGGGCCTAAATTTGCATGTCTATAAAATGGAGCCAATAGTAGTAACCTTTTAGTAACTCAGAGGTTATTTGGAGAGATAAATGGATTAGTACTTTGAAGTGCTTGGCACAACGACTAACACATAAAAAAACCAAACACCTCAATAAGTGTCAACTGTTATTATATGGACACAGGTCTGAGCCTAGCCTGGAACTCCTTCTTCCCACTTCAGGGCCCAGGAGCATGGAGGTAAGCTTGGGGACTCATCAGAGAGCAGGGACTGAGCAGGAATTCAGGACAGGGCCCTCTTTGTCCACATTCATTCATCCATTCATTCATTCGACAGGTATTTGTAGAGTACCCACTATGTGCCAGGCACTGGAGATTGTATATGGAAAATGACAGGGTCCTTGTCTTCATGAAGCCTGTATTCTAGTATAGGAAGTCGGAGAATAAATAAAAAATAAACAAATATATCATTTCACACAGTGAAATCCCTGTAAATAAAATCACAATGTTTTATAATAAAGAGTGACGGGGGGTGGTCAGAGAAGGCATTTCTGAGGAGGTGGATTTAAGCTGAAACCTAAGGAATAAGAAGGAGGCATCTGGGAGAAGAACATTCCAGGCAGGGAGCAGAGCAATTTGGGGAGCAGAGAGAAAGCTGGTGGGACGGGAGCAGAGTGGACAGGAGGTAAGACATTGGGCATGGGGACCGAGGCATCTGCAAGGGGGAGCCTCAGGGACTCCCAGCTGCCCTAAGAGGTTTTGATTTTATTTGATCATCATTATTATTTTTTATCCTCACCCTAGGACACTTTCTGCATTTATCTTCAGATAGAGCGGGAGAGAGAGAGGGAGGAAGAGAGAGAGAGAAACATCGACATGAGAGAGACACATTGACTGGCTGCCACCCACATGACCCCAACCAGGGCCGGGGACAAACTGCAACTGAGGTACATGCCCCTAGCGGGAACCGAACCCAGGATCCTCTGGTCCGCGGGCTAATGCTCTAACTGCTGAGCGGTTTGGATTTTATTTTAAATTTGATGGAAAATCTGTATGGGATTTTAAGCAGGGTAGTGACATGACCTTATGTTTTGGAAAGACCAGGTGGCTGGGTAAAGAATTGTCTGGGGAGGGACAGGGATAGGCAAGAAACAATGGTGTCCCCAGCGAGAGTGGAGGCAGTGGAAAGTGATAGCGTTCAAAGTATTTTGGGGGTATGGAGTCAACAGGACCTGCTGGTGCATGTGGAAATGATAGAAAGAGAGGAATCAAGTATGACTGTGCCCTGGCCAGTTTTCTCAATGGTTAGAGCATCGGCCCTTGGACCAATGAGTCACAGGTTCGATTCCAGTCAAGGGCGTGTACCTGGGTTTCGGTTCAGTCCCCGGCCCTGGTCGGGGTTGTGCGGGAAGCAACCAGTTGATGAGTCCCTCCCACATCTCCCACATCAATGTTTCTCTGTCTTTCCCTCTCTCTCCCTCCCTCCCACTCTATCTGATGATAAATAAAAAAATATCCTCCAGTGAGGATTAAAAAGAAAAAAAGGAATGACTTAAAGGTAGATGGTTGAACCACATACTGATGAGTAAGCCTTCAGGAGGAGCCAACTGGAAAAGATGGGCAATGAGGGTTTTGTTTTGGACGAGTAAGAGTGTATCCTGCTTAAAGGAGAATAATCAGGTGGAAGTGTCTAGTGTTCGTTGGATAATACACGTTTAAAGGTTAGGGTTACAGAACGAAGAATCATCAGCATAGAGATGCTTTTTCTTTCTTTTTTTAATCCTCATCTAAGGACATTTTTTTGCATTTATCCTCAGATAGAGTGGGAGGGAGAGAGGAAGAGAGAGAGAGAAACAGTGATGCGAGAGAGACACATCGAGTGGCTGCCACACACATGACCCAAACTGGGGCTGGGGACAAACTGCAACCAAGGTACATGCCCTTAGCGGGAACCGAACCCGGGACCCTCTGGTCCACAGGCCGATGCTCCAACCGCTGAGCCAAACTGGTCAGGACTAGAGATGCTTTTCAAAGCAGGAGACAGCAAAGGATCACTTGGGGATCACCTGGGGGAGAGTAAATGGATAAGGAGGAGGGGCCTGAATAAAGTGGCTGAGGGGGGAGGAAAACCAGGAGAAGGGGTCACCAAAGCCGAAAGAAGATAGCATTGTAAAGAGGGGGTGACAAACTGTGACAAATGCTGCTGAGGGAATGAGGGGGGTGAGCATGGACCAGGGGTTTGGTGACATGGGAGCTGATGGGGACTTGACCAGAGCCCTCTGGGCAGTTAGAGTCGGAGACTGGAGCTTTGTAAGGAGAGACATGTCAGTGTAGACAGTCTTGAAAGGAGGCATATGTTGAGGGAGTTGCGGTCAACGGAGGGTTTGCTTGTTTTTTGTTTTTAATTCTCACCCAAGGATATATTTTTTTTCCTATTTAACTTCATGATAGAGTGGGAAGGGGAGAGAGAGAGAGAGAGGGAGAGAGGGAGAAACACAGATGTGAAAGAAACACAGATGTGGTTGCCTCCCGCATGACCCTGACCAGGGCCTGGATGACCCTCCACCGAGGTACGTGCCCTTGACCGGAATTACACCCGTAACTCTTTGGTCCATGGGCCGATGCTCTAACTGCTGAACCAAACCAGCCAGGGCAGGTCTGCTTGTTATTTAAGATGGGAGCTGTTATTGCATGTGTGTATGCCAATGGGAGAGATCAGGCAGAGAAGGAACTTGACGTAGGAGAGAGAGAGGGTAATCACAGGAGAAAGGTGCTTGAGAGGGGCTAGTATCCAGTGCCCCGGGGGAAGGGGCTGGCCTTCATAGATCAGATGGGACGGTCTCAGAATCAGGACAGGGAAGGCAGTGTCTGTGGACAGAGGCGGGCAGCAGGGCTGAGTGTAGCACAGGCAAGACAGAGGCTCCTGCCGTGTTGCACTCCCAGCAGGAGGCCTGGCCTCAAGGCTTTCCTGTGTGACCTCGGGCAAGTTACTGAATCATTCTGAGCTGTGCTTTCCTGGGGGTAAAATGAGAATTACAGTCCCTGTCTGTCCTCTCTTCTGGGCTTCACATACTTGGCCTGGTCTGTCTGAAAACCTATCTGATGGGTTCCCAGTAGAGATGCCACTGGCTTTAGCTTGAGACCAGGGTCATCTCAAAGGTGAGCCAAGCCTTGTCACTTAGCAGGTGTCAGGGGCCCAGGGACTGTACCACTACATCCCAATCCCTCACCCCTTTGGGACAGCACCAATAGAAAGCCTGCCTCAATGTCCCTACATGTGACAAAAGGAAGAAAACGCTCAGTGGGCAGTTCAGGGCTGTTGGGTGGGGCCAGGACCAGATTCTGTCGCAGCCTTCGGGATGCCACAAGGCAGAGAGAAAACACAGGCTTTGGAGCTAGACCACATCCCAAGCTCGGCCACTTTTTAATTGTGTGACCTGCCAGAGGGAAAAATTTACTGGGAAGCTCGGGCTTCCTGGCCCTCGTCCTGAACGGACCCTGCCCAAGCCCTGTGCTAATTTTAGGTTTATAATTTTGTGTTCTTTTACTTACGAGAGCACTCCCCACGAATGTGCAATATCTGGGGGTGGGGCAGGAGGCAGTGGTACTTCCCTGTCCATCCTGGGTACTGCTGGTAAGATCCCACCCCTTCTCCTTAGTCTAAGCACACTTCGTCCTTTGGATCACAGGTGAGTACCTTCTCCTGCTGTGTCTATTCTTACTGGCACAAACTGCCCAGGGCCAGCTTCATCCTGCTCCCTTCCATCCCCTCCAGCAGCTAGCCCTGCTCATTAGCCACTAAGCTTAGTGCAGGACAGCGTGGGCACATAGTAGGTAAGATAACCCCACCTGCTTCCACCTGTACCTCTTTTATAAACTGGCTTCCCGACTCCCGAGGCAGTAGATTCCAAGTGCACCTAAGCAACTCACCTGGGGCTCCTACTATGAGATGCCAAGCAAAAGCCCCCTTTGACCTCTTAAGCCTCATCCCTCAGGAGGACCAGGAGATTATAGCCTCACTTCCAGGCTCAGAGAGGTCAGTAGGTTATGCTGGTCTTTTTTTTTTTTTTTTTAATAATCTTTCTTTTTGATTTTAGAGAGAGAGGAAGGGTGAGGGAGAGAGATAGAAACATCGATGAGAGAGACCATTGATTGGCTGCCTCCTGCATGCCCCCCCCCCCCCCACCAGGGGATCAGGCCCACAACCTGGGCATATGCCCTGACTGGGAATCAAACCTGTGACCTCTTGGTGCATGGGTCAACACTCAATCACTGAGCCACACCAGCCAGGCAAGTTATACTGGTCTTAAGGATCTCCAACCCTGGCCCAAACAGTCCCTCTCCTGGCCCCTTACAGCTTCTATGTGCCTAGAACCCCAAGTCCTTACCTTCGTGGGGATGAGGAGGGGCAGAGGCAGCAGGAAAATGGGCAGGAAGTACACAATCAGGTAGGAGCGATAGGCCCACAGGCCCTGCCAGTAGGTGGCCATGGTGTGGACCCAGGAAGGCTGCTGGAGCCACTGTCTCTCTGGAATCCAGGGAGCTGAAGGACTGACTGAGCTGGTAGGTGGCTGGGGCAGGCTTATATAAAGCTGGTGGAGTGTTAACCATTGACCCACCCTGGCAGTCAGAGTGTTTTTGGAGGCCGGGGGTGAGAGTAAGGAGGAGGGACTTGCAGGAGGTATAAAGATCAGGAAGACTCTGCAAAGATAGGGAGGAGGGTGAGATCAAGGAGTAAAAGCTTCGGATTCTTTCAAGGAGTTAAGCTCAGAGTTAACTCCTTCTGTGCACGAAGGCTGGCCAGGGCTGCTGCTGGGGGAGCTGGAGAAGGAAGGGTGCCCGGGAAGTCCCACAGCTGGTGTCCGGAGGGCAAGTCCCCGAGCTGCCTCCCCAGCCCAGCCTTCTCTTCCGGGTTTTAGTCGCCAAAGCCAGGTTCTCCACAACTGTTTATACAGGGCTGAGGGGCGGGTAGCTCTCCTCTAGGGAGGTCCTATCCTCTAGGAGTTTCCAGTCTAAGACTGGGGGGAGCGAAGGCCTGGAGCAAGCCCTCCTCTCCCTTCCAGGGTCTAGGAAACTGCAAAGCCACGGGTTTCGACTCGCTTACTCACTTTGTGACGCTGATTCACTGACTTAACCTCTCAGAATAGCCACTTCCTTGCTCTGCTGTAATACCTTCCTATTATGAGGCTCAAATGAGATAACTTGCGGTATGTTGAGCCTCGATATGTGGTAGGTATACAGTAAAGGTCAGCGGGGTTTTTGTTTGTTTGTTTTTAGGTTTTTCCTAAACTGCCACAGAAGACCAGCAAAGATTGTCTCGTGTTTTTGAAATAATCTCTCCATTCACTCATCCATCTATCCATCCATCCACCATACCCGTATTTGGCACTAATTATATATTTAGCCCCATGAATGCTAAAATGTTGCTGGTAATAGTTCACATTTGTTCAGCATTTAGCGTAAGTTATTTAGTGTGCTATTGCATTTACTCAGTACAACCACACCATGAGATAGGTGTTACTATTCCATTAAATCTTTTTTTCTTTATTGATTTGAGAGAGAGAGGAAGGGAGAAGGAGAGAGAGATAGAAACATCGATGAGAGAGAACATTGACTGGCTGCCTCCTACATGCCCCCCACTGGGGATTGGACCCACACCTGGGCCTGTGCCCTGACCAGGAACATCCTGGTGCATAGGTCAATGTTCAACCCCTGAGCCAAACTGGCCGGGCTATAGAAAAATTATTGATTGATTTTAGAGACAGAGAGGGAGAGAGAGACACAAACATCAATGTGAGAGAGATGCAAGCGTCCCAGTTAGGGATTGAACCCGCAACCTTTCGCTGTACAGGACGATGCTCCAACCAACTAAGCCACACCGGCCAGGGTTATTCCATTTTATAGGTGGGGAAACTGAGGCCCCAGGACACAGAGACAGCAAGAATTTAAACAGCCACGAGCCACTTAACATCGGGTATGCTTTCTGAGAAATGTGTTGGTAGGCGATTTTGTCGTTGTGGGAACATCAGAGATGCACTTACACAAACCTGGATGGTCTAACCTACTACATACCAGGGCTATCTGGCATAACCTGTAGCTCCTAGGCTACAAGCCTGTACAACATGTTACTGTACTGAATACTGTAAGCAATTGTAATGCATTGCGCTTCGACGGCTATGGTATCACTAGGAGATAGGAATTTTTCAGCGTCATTATAATCCATGGGACGGACCACTGTGGCATGTGTGGTCTGTCGTTGATGGAAACATCTTTATTTTTATGTATTTATTTTTTGACTCTTAACCCAAGGATATTTTTCCATTCATCTTCAGATAGAGCAGGAGGGAGAGAGAGAGAGAGAGAAAGATCGATGTGAGAGAGACACATTCATTGGTTGCCACCCGCAAGACCCCAACCGGGGCCAGGGATGGACGAACCGCAACTGAGGTATGTGTCCTTGGCCGGGACTCTTACCTCTGAGCCAAACCGGCCAGGATGATGGAAACATCTTTAAACAGTACATAACTGTGTGCTTTATGAGTGCCCTGGGGAGGTTTAAACCAGTACTGGAGCTCTAGGTGAAAGACAGTATTGGGAGTACTGGGCTCCTGGAGAAGGGGGCATCTAAGCTCAAACTTGAAAGTTGAGCCTAATTTGGCCACAAGTGATGGAGGAAGGATCACAAGCAGGTGGAAGTGTGAAATAAGGCCTGGAGGGTGGTGTGTGTGCATATGTGTGTGTTGGAGGAGCTGGTTGTGGGTTGGAAGGAACTGCTGGTTGTCTGTCCCGTCAGAGTCTCTGTCTCTTGGTACCTTCACCCCTGCCCACCTCATATTGCACACAACAGAAGCTCAATCCATGTTTCTGTTGATTATCGGAGTGTGATGGTCTGTGTGTGCCAGGACGAGAAGGCAGAGTACCGGCGAGAACGCTTTGGGACGTAAGACAGCCTGGGGGGAAACTGTGGGAGCTTGGTCAAGTTTAGAGAACAGAAGCTTCTGTGCGGTTGAACTATGGATTTGTAGGGGTGGGGCAGGATTGGGAGATGATAACCGCATTTCCAAGGTGTGCAATAGCATGACCTGAGCTGTTATGCCAGGGAGACACTCCTGGAGCCACTGAAGTCTGTGTGAGAGACACACACCGTGCCTTCTGCAGGTGGGAACAGAGCTTTGGATAGATCCAGGTGGCAGGACTCCTGGAACCAGGCTGGGTGGGAAGCTACATTAAGACAGGACAGACTGGCCACCCCACACCCCCATTCAGGCTGTGGCCTCTCTACTCCCACACAGCCAACCTGCCACCTGCTCAGGGCAAGGTGAGGAAGAGTCTGGAAGCACAGGGATAGACAAAGGGTTTCAGATGCCCAACACAATACCCCAATTCTGTCTCACCTTGGACGAGGCCTCTCCCATGGCCTGAGGCTGGAGAAGCCACTAGGGGAGCATGGCCGTGGCTTGCATCTACTCTATGTATAATCTGCATCCCAATTTGCCCAACTCTCTGCACCAACGCTGTATGCAGGCTCAGAGCAATGAAATGACTTGCCCAAGGTCACACAGCTTGTGAGTAACAGAGAAAGCTCAGATTCACATCCAAGACTGCATGTTCTTTGCCTAGCCTTCCATGCCCTGGGCCCCTGGGATGGCAAAACTGTGTTTCCAAATTATATGGCTACTCTTTTACTGAGACACCGCCCCTAACCCTGGCTTTGTGTCTACCACCCCCTTCAAAGTCATGGGCTCTTGGGACCCTTGCTGATTCTCTTTTGAAGATCAGTGTTGAGGTGCTAGCGTGTATGCCCAGCAGCGGCCCAGTCAACAATGCATTCCTATCAGAAGCAGTGTCCCCAGGCCAGTGGGAAGTCTCTAGCCGTGACACAGGTCACGGAACTTTCCCTTGCCACAAAGTCACAGCCAGGGCCCCACTCTGCCAGCCCTTGTTCAGTTCTCCAATCTGCCCTACCTCCTTTTCTTTCAATGAACCCTGCACACACCTGTTTTGTTTTTCATGGCTCCTAATGGACTGTGAGCAATTCGCGGCAGGTGCTGAGGTCGTCTTTCTTGGGGTCTTTTGTGTGACAGTTCTCTGCACGATCTCAGGGAGGAGGATTGGGCTCCTGGGTCCACTCATTTTGTCTCATACCCCACTCAGCACCTCGCAAGGTGCTCAAAAGGTGCTTACGAGACCCTGTGAGATCCCACACTTGCCTTCCCCTTTTGCTTCAGCTCTCTCCATTCCTGCCCTGACTCGACTGTTTTCAGATCCTCACCTGGCCCCGCATTGCCTGACGTCTTTGAGAGGTGCCGTTGCTTCTCCTTGGCACACTTTCCCTTTCCCCACCCGATTGGTTAACTCTTGTTTATCTTTCAGGTCAGCCTGAGACTGAACTTCCTTTGTGAACTCTCATCACAGACAAACTCAGGCCCCCTGCTAAGTGCCCTACGCGAGCCCTGTCACAGCACACATCACGCTGCATTTCTTTCTCCCGATAACCTGCCCCTACCCCACCAGACCACAACCCACGCGGACAGGTCTGTCTGTACCACTGTCTGCAGCTCTTCAGACTCTTGAGTTGATACCCAACAAATATGTGTTGGAAGAATGGATGGATGGATGGGTGGGTGGGTGGAAGGGATGCCCACATGAAAATGTATAAAGTTTGTGTCAGAGAGCCTCCTTCCAGCATGTTCTGGAGCTGATCCCGGTCCTTCAGATAGGACTGATGGAAGGCCATCAGTCAGGTAACAAGGCAAAGAAGTGAAGAGGCTTTCCTCACTATCAAGATTGTGAAGAGGAGCCCTGGCCAGTTTTGCTCAGTGGTTAGAGCACCAGCCCACTGACCGGAGAGTCCTGGGTTCGGCTCCCGATAGGGGCACGTACCTCGGTTGCAGTTTGTCCCTGGCCCCGGTTGGGGTCGTGTGGGTGGCAACCACTCCATGTGTCTCTCTCGCGTGGATGTTTCTCTCTCTCTCTCCCTCCCTATTTCCCTCCCTCTCCCACTCCTGCTCTATCTGAAGATAAATGCCAAAAAAATGTCCTCGGATGAGGATTAAAATAAAAGATTGTGAAGAGGAGATAGGGCATAACCCTTCCAGAGTTGGCGCTGCCCATATGTGCTGGTGTGGGAAAACCAGGCAGCAAGTCATCCTCTCTTCTTCCAAGTCTCCATGCCCATTTTTTTTCTTTCAAAATTGTGATAAAATACAAGTAACATAAAATTTATCTTCTTTACCGTTTTTAAGTATGCAGCTCAGTACCGTTAAGTATAATCTCATTCTTTTGCAACCAAGCTCCAGAACTTTTTTGATCTTGCAAAACCGAAACTCTAGCACAGCTGGTGTGGCTCAGGGGTTGAGCATGGACCCATGCACTAAGAAGTCAGATTGTGGGCCTGATCCCCAGTGGGGGGCATGCAGGAGGCAGCCAATGGATGTTCTCTCTTATCAGTGTTTCTCTCTCTCTCCCTCTCCTTTCCTCTTTCTCTAACATCAATAAAGAAAAATAAATTAAAAAAAACA